AAAAAACATATCGTTGTTAAAATCTCCAAATACTGATTTTACCTTGGGACAAAATTATGATTCATCATTTGTGGGTGGAGCTGTGTGAGACGGTCCACCTTAACGCCAGCTCACGATGTTTGCCACCAGGGGGTGTGGCTTTAAATAGTTTATCATTTAGTACTTCATTAACAATGGTTCAGTCACTGTAGAGCCATCATGGAGCCACAGCAACATATACTTCAGTGATTTATTTCACTGATATTCACTAAAGGAGAAAGTCAAATCAGTTGTCACGCTACCATTTTCCCTTCACACGTCTACACAGCGGAGTCTGGTACCTGATGGCAGGACGCTGCTTCCCAGGGGAGGAGTCGGATGAAGAACTGCATCTGCTTCTGTAGAGCGGGTCTAACAACAAAGTGGACCTCTGAACAAACACACACACACACACAGTCATGTTGACATTTCATTGACTTACATTCATTTCCAGGACCTTACTCTGACCACAACCTGCCCAAAGTTAAACTTTAAACTATTCCAACCTTAAACCAAGTCTTCATCCTACAGTTAGGAGATTTACTTGCGTTTTGTGAACTGGTGTATTTAGATGCATGTTGAGAGGCACACTGCCTGGGCACAGACTCAAAGAAGAGGGCACATTTGTAAAATGAATAAGAATGTGTTACAGCCCCGATGAACAGTACAATATTAATATCAGTAAAAACAAAGCAGCTGACAGCCCGACTGTGCTACAGGTCTCAGATCAGACACACCTATAGTCACACCAGTGCTGCCTCTCTCTTCAGCATGGTTAAATAAAGGTTAAATGAATGACTCCCTCCCTCACTCTCTCTCTCTCTCTCTCTCTCTCTCTCACACACACACACACTGAAGCTTACAGCAGCTGATCCGCTGTGTAGACTCCACCGTGGCTCCGACAGCCTTGAAGAGTCTCCTCTAGAGTCTGAACCAGGAACACACACACCTCACTGGACTGAAACAGAGCAAACAGAGAAACTCTTCACCCAACAGCACCGTACTTCCTCTGTGCGTCTCTGTGAGGACACTGGTTGTCGCTGCTCTGACAGGCTGCGAGACTGAAGTCTTGATCCCCACCTGGTGACGGCGCACCACCTGTACTGAGGTACTGGTGACGGTGCGGCACCTGTACTGGATGAG